GGGGGGGCTGGGGAGAGGAAAGGGCAGACAAGGTCAACTGACTGACCTACTGAGTTACGCATTCGAGTATCTGTCGAGCACCTGCTATCGGCCAATCCCTGTGCAAGACGCTGGGACTGCGACCACACACACACCAAGGCAAGAGGAGACATGCTCTCTGCCTTCACAAAGGTCACTGCCCAGCGGTCACCTGCTCCCTGGATTCTCTGACCTGAAGGAGATGGGCCCTGAACGAGGGTCTCAATAGTCTATTTATCCAAAGCAGACATATGGTGAGAGACCCAAGAGAGTTCTGGGACCCTGAGTCTGGCCCCACCCTTCCCCTAAGTCGCTGGCTCTCTGAGCCTCCCACAGTTTCCCATTTGTAAATGGAGATTGGAAAGCCTGGATCAGGTCAGCTCATTGTTCTCTTCTATTTCCAAAATCTATGTTTTATATAATTTGCTTTTAATTTAGGGTTATTTTTTACTTTATTTATTTATTTAATTTGCTATAGGGTGTGCAAGCTCACCAGAGTGGGGGGAGGGGTGAGAAATCATCCCACAGCAGGGATGACCACGCCACAGTCCCTTCTCTGTTTTCCTCTAGGGGTGTGGGCATGTAATCACACATGCCCAGCGTGATTTCTATGCCACCAGGTCCTCAGTCATGTGGGATCCCGCTGCTTTAACCACCGTGCCACTGGCTGTTCCACTACTTAAGAATTTTAAAAGAATAATAATCTCAATTTGCTTTGTCTACAAGTTGTTTTTAATGTCCTCTCATTTGTTTTTGCTGTTATCCTCTTAATCCTCAAGAGGCCAAAAGCCCTAGTGGTTTCATGTGGTCATCAACATGCTTTGCGTCAGACAGATGGTCTGAATCCCAGCGCTGCTACTTCATAGCCCTATGATCCTAGCCAAGTAACTTCACCTCCAAGCTTCAGCTTCTCTGTCTGTAAAATGGAACAAAATAAGAGCCTTACTATGTGTCTTGATAAGACAGCTAATTGAGCTAATATACTTAGCCCAGGGTAGTTAACACATACTCTCTTTTTTATAATTTAAAGAACTATTTAATTATTTTTATTTATTATTATTTTTTAAATTTGACTAGAGAAAGAGAGAGAGAGAGAGAAAGAGAGAGAGAGAAGGGAAAGTGAGAAAGCAAGTTGCCAGGTCTGGAACTTGAATAACAGTAGGCCATGTGGGAGTCTAGTACTTTTTTTTGGGAGAGGTTTTTACTATAGGGCATGTGTGCTCACCAGAAGAGAGACAGAGAGACAGAAAGTGAGAAATAATCCACCAGAGGGGGTAGCCACACCGTAATCCCTTTTTCTCCATTCTCCTCTCAGGATCTTGGGCATGCACGTGAGCCCATTGTGAGTTTAAGCCACCGGGTCTGGGACTTGAACCATGGTTTGACTAGATGAGAGTCCAGCAACATAGCCACTACACCAACTGCTGGTCCCGAGTCTAGTGTTCTTAATTGCCACATCACCATATACTCTTAATAAGAGTGACTGCAAGCACAATTGGTGTTTTGGGTAGCAAAGTAGATCCAGTAACATCTGAGCTGAGACATAATCCACTTACTGGCTAATTTCAACGTTGGGTCTTCAGAGTCAACAATGCTCTGTGTCCCATCCCAGTTTGAATGGCAGAAGTGACTGTTTCCATTTCACAGTTGAAGGCACAAAGGCACAGAAGGTGTAAGTACTGGCCCACCACACATAGTGAATAGTGGCAGGGCTGGATCAGAATACAGACTCTGGCTGCTGTTTTCCATCCAGATCCATCCTGCTCTCCCCAGCTACACATGGGACCTCTCTGGCTCTTTGATTACTGAGCATGTGACTCAAGTTGGATCAACCAGAGAGAATGCCAAACTTGGAACTCCTGGGATAAAGATGCTCTCTGTCTACTGGTGCTATTGGCTGAAAGAATGGGGAGAAAGGTGGCCTAAGAGAGATGCACCATGGAAAGAACAGAGCCAAGAGCCCATGTGACATTACTGGAGTCCTGGATTCAGCCACTGCTAAAACAAGACCTAGTCCTGCACTTGTCAGTTATAGGAGCCAACATCCCTGTCCCAAAAGGCACAGACTGGACTCCATCCCTTTGGTGCCCATGCTATACCTCCATGGCCTTCTTCAGCTGCTTGGCATCATAATGGGCTGGGGGCATCATGAGCCCCAGAATCAATCTTGCCAGGTCTCCAGAGATCTCAGACTTCAGGTCAGCCATTAAGTCCTGCAAAGGGCAGAGCCAAGGTCAGGCCAACATTACACTTGCCTCTCATGACCAGGTCGGGGAGGAGATATAGAATGAGAAAACAGGGGCTGTGTGTGGGGGATGATGGGAATCTGTGTTTGTCTTTTCTGATGTTGACCTTATCACTTAAACGACGTCAAAGAGGGTGGGGAAACAACCAAGAGGAAGACCCACTCTCTTTGGAAGCAGGAGACAGGGAGGGAAAGGGGTCAGTGCCTAAGGACACCAGTTCCATCCCAGGGGAAATTCACCAGCCTAAGTCAAATGCCACCAAGTTGGAATAACACTGACACCCAGCTCCGAGGCCTTGCAGCCGGCTCTCTGTGCAGAGGAACTGCCAGATGCTCAAAGCACTGCACGCAAGCAACTGTCAGTCCCGTCCTGGCCTGTGCTGAGCCTCTGATTCCGCTGAGCCATCTCTCACAGCACTTATCCAAGGCACAGGGGAATGTAGAGACCTGTCTAGGGGCGGCCCAATCCGAATGCTGCAGGCAGTCTGAGATCGTGTGGCCACAAGGCTTTTCCCACTGCATAGAGCTGGTACCGACGAGGCCAGCAAGCTCCTCAGGGGAAGTGGCTGGGGCCAGGCAGGGCTCTGGTGGATTTGGGGCTCGAGACGCAGAGGAGGCCCTTACCCGGCCAAAGTGCGACTTGAAGGTCTGCCGGATCTGCTGCCGCTGGGCGTTGCTGCGGTGTGTGATGATATCAATGATGGTGTCTTCGTCGGTTCCTGAGTCACCAGAGCCACATGCCTCAGAAGGGGGCCTGTGGCTCAGGCTCCCCAAGCCTCTCCACTGATGGTCCCCCCAATCATTGTCAGGGTAGAAGCCCCTGCAGGCACTCCGTCCCTGACTCAAACACTAACTCTCCGGGATTCCACCCTGCCCTTCCTTGGTCAGTCACTGGTTGAGAAAAAACCAGCACTAAGATTTCTGCTGAACTAGGAGAGTAGAAAGCACTGGGTTGGGAGGCAGGGCCTGAGTTCTAGCCCTAGACCTGTCTACCTTGGGCGAGTCCCTTTCCCTTTCTCGGACTTGGTTTCCATACCTGTAACAGGAAGAGGCTGTAGCAGTTACTCAGGGATCCTTCCAACCCTGACACTTTAAATCCTCTTAGTGTCCCTATGTCCTTTCTCTCGACTGCCTGAAGACCGGGCCTCCAGTCCCTCTAACACCAGGTCGACTAGAAGGCATTAGGACACTTCCTGCCTCTCAGGGTTATGCCACCAACCTCAGACGTGGGACGGGGCTGCATCTTTCAAGGCATTTTTACACCTGTCATCTTACAGTCCCAGATGTGCTCAGTAGGTATCTTCCCCCGAGAAAAATGGGACGAAGCCTAAAAGGCAAAGGCCCTGGTTTACGGGCCCAGGTGAGTGCTGTCGGACAGATAGGGAAGGCGATGGAAGCCTAACCCCAGGGGATCCGACCCGGTGGGATTTCCCCAGCACAGGCCCAGCTAGGGGCTGGGCAGTACCTTTTACCTACACACCCACTGGTGCCGACTGCAGGCCTGAAGGGATGACTAGCAGGGGGTGCTCCCACCCCAGAAGTGGGGCTCGGGTTATGGGGTCCACAGGCCCTTATTTCCCATGTGGGAAAATTGAGACCCCAGCGCAGCTGAAAGACTTGCTCAAGTTACACAGCGAGCCAGTAGCAGAGCCAGGGCACGTACCCAGGTCTTCTGACATAGTACTTTCTTCCACACCGGGATACCACACCCAAGGGACTGGGGGACACCTTGGCTTCCAGGAAGGGCTTCCACCATGTCCTTACGAAACCTTCACATCTTCCTTCCTATACGAGGGAGCCTGGGGGGCTTCTCAATAAAATCCTCTTTTGCTGTAAACCAGTCTAAGGCCTGACCCCTCTCCCTACCCATCCCCCAGACTCATGCCTGTTACGCCAGAGACCAGCCCTGCCCCTTTCACACACTCTTACCAAGTCCCTTCATGGCTTTCCGCAGGGCTTTGGCATCAGCGTCAGGGTTGAAGTCTGCGGCTGAACGCACGGTTCCCTTCAGCTGTGAGAAGCAGAAAGAGACTCAGCAGGTGTCAGGAGGCCCCCCAGGGGGCCAGGCCCAGAAAGGAGCATGCGAGGGGTGGAGCCCCAAACCAAGCAGCCTGGGGGAGAGAGGCAGGGTGAAGGCATAGCATAGACCCTGCCCCAGAGCTGAGAGAAAGAGGGACCCGGGCCTGGAAGCAGGTGAAGGCTGGTGGTGGGGGAAGAGGCCGAGCAGCTGACTTTTGTGTCCGCCTATCCAGGGGCCTCCCTGCCTCTTAAAGAGCATCCCTCTGTTCTCCCCACCCCCATTAAAAAGGCAGCAGAAACATTCTGAAACACCAGAGCAGAGTTTCCCAAATTTCAGTCACTACTGACTTTCATAAGGTTTTCTATAATTCTATAATTCTATCCTATTTCTTAATATTTTGTTCTTTGATAAATCCCTCAGAGCCCAAGGCCTACAACAGTGCCTAACTCTCTCACTCTCTCTCTCTCTATATATATATAATAGGCACTCAAAAGATACTTGTGAATCCATACTTAATGGAAGAAAATAATTTCATATTGCTATCAGGAATTACCATGAGTCATAACCAGATGCTAACCCATGAAGATCAATGTCATTAAAAAATATGTTAAATACCATAAATCTAATAGTACAGCATTGCTTGGTCAAAGTGCTGAACTTAGAGCTGGCTGTCTCAGCTCTCCGTGAAGAAGAAAAGATCAGCGAGTTTTGCAGAACTGGCATCAAACCAAGGTGTTTCCTTTGACACAATCAGAGAAGATGAAGTCGGAAAGGAGGAACTTTCTCATTAAGTGTGGCTTGGCGTTATTTAATGCCACAGAAGTCCCCTTGTCCCTGCCAAACTGAATTTATTTCTCATATAACTTAAGATTATCTGCAATGATAGCTCCTGCCTTGTAATTTGGGAAACGCTGTTCTGGGACATCAGAGCTCAAGAGTCTTCCTTAGAGGTCACCAAGATTGCCATGCCTAAACCCCTTATTTCAAAGATGGAGACATAGAGGCTCAGAGAGAGGTTGGGGCATGCTGAAGGTTGCACAGCCAGTAACAGAGAAAGCCTAAGGTCCCCAATTTTTTGTGTATGGACCAAGCGTTATCAGCCCCTAGGGTGATCTGTCAGTAATTCTGTGAAACCTTTCATTCTGGTCTTTAGTGGACCCTGGGTCTGAGAGTGCTCAGGAAGATATCCCTGAATGCACCTGGGTGCCCACCTGTTCATGCCTTCAAATCCCAAATATTGGATCCTGGATGGGAGAGCCCCTCCGTGGAACCTGCCAGGTCTCCATTTTAGCAAGCTCTGTTAGTAGTTAGTGGGCCGGAACACGTCCCAGCATGTTAGACACTAATGCAGGAATCAGATGCCCCACTGGCGTGCCACCCACCAACTCATCACACCAAGGGAGCAAAGGAAGCCTTAGAGTGACAGTCTACATCTCGAGTTGGCCGCCAGGGGGCAGCTGGTGCCAACCAGAGCAGCAAGAAGGTGCACACAGAAGAGTGGAAGCTTGTGGTCACGAGGTCAAGCAGGAGGCGGGGAGGGTCTGACCTCTACTCGGGCCACTGCACTAAGTTCCCACATCTGATAGGCCACCTGCGCTGCTTCCGGGAAGAACTGGCCAGCAGCACTGGAATGGAGGGGGTCGGGGAGAGGATGGAGGGAATGTCATCATGGACAATGTTCCACACACACAACGCACACGCGCATGCACACACACACACACCCCTGTCTGGCTTTCCCTTCTCTCCAGCCTGTGTGTCATCCCACCATACACCAGAGCCCTGCTTCCATTTCTAAGCACCTCTGCCTTCTCCAGACCCTCTGCAATACTGGCTCTTTCCAGCAGCCTTTCCAACCTCAAGGGCCCAAGCAGGGTAGGATTTCTCCAGTCCTTCCTTATCATTTGAATGACTTCTGTCCATGTGTCCCTCACAAACAGGCCAAGGAGAGGGTTATGGCTGCATCACTCCTACACCTGCTGCCAAGCATGTGAATATATCAGGTGCTCAGCACATTTCTGCTAAGCTGCATGAGCCCCTATGGCAGTGATCGAAGGTGAACAGGAGGATCCCGAATCCCCTCCTTAACTGAGTGTTTATAAGCCCCAGAGAAAGAAAATCAGAACACCCATAAATCTCCTTCTAGAACACAGTCTCGGGTCAAGTCCTGCCCCACTTTAATATTCCAGGAGGAGGCCTGTGCACCGTGAGAGGGCAACTTCAGTCATATAAATGAGCCAGGCTGGTTTTGCTCATCCAGGCCTTTCTGTAGGAGATTTCCTCCACCAAAAAGCTTCCCCAGGTCCTCTCTTCGCCCAGCTCCTCCCTCCTCCTACTTTTCTCTTTGGGTTTCAAGTCCATGATCTCCAACAAGCTTTCCCTGGCCTGGGTTGGTGCACCTACATGTACTTCTTACATTTATTTCTCCACCATCACAGCCCTGCCCCATGACGGTCTGTGTGCCCTTCTGAGCAGTATGTGTCACCAGGTGCTTCGACACAGTGCTCACACACAGAGGGTACTTAATACAGACATGACATGCCGAGTCAGTGAGCAGGCAGGATCAGGGTTTGCATTCTCCCCATTTAACAGCTGATGACACCGTGCAGCAGCCCTAAAGTAGCTGGGCTCAGACTCTCATGTTCTCATCCCAGAAAGATTGTCCAGGTCCACAGGGGCATGTGCATCTCTACACAGGAGCCCGCACTTGCATTCGGACACACACATGAACATACAAGACCCACAAGCACAACAGATATGGGCAAAGGCCACCTTGCCTCTGTGTGATGCTCCTGGCTCAGAGGATCCCTGGCTCATCCAATCCATCCTTTAGGATGAGCTAGGAGAGTCCTGTCCTGCCACTGAGGCCACTCCCTCCCATCCAGGGCCAAGAAGTCACTTACTCATCATCTCCCCCACAAAGCTTCAGCAGAGCTTTCTTGTACTCGCCAGAGGTGTCATTCTGGACAATAAGAAAGGAAGCAAGGTTAGCTCTCACCAGGACCTTGGCTCCTGTCAGCGGGAGAAGGTTCTGTGCAGCCCAGATAGGGGACGACTGCACAATTACCCACAGCAGCCCTGACTCTCCTCCTGTCTGGAGGTGGCTAAGACCACCGAACAGTTGTGTTCTGGCAAATACTTAACAGCTGGGTCTCGGGGTGGGGGGGAGTTAAACAAAACAGAAAGCCCTGATACGTAGCATGTGCCAATTTCTGCGGTGTAAATGCTTCCAACAATAGACAAAGTCAAGCTACCAAAATGACTTCACTGAACGTGGACTTGAGAAGAGATGCCAGCTGCTCTCCTAAGCCAGAGCAAGATGGCCAGCACGCTACGTCCGCAGCTAGTCCCCAGCCCAGTCCTTTCAAGTGAAATACTCCATGATAATGAGGCTTCACAAATAAAAACATTGGGACATGCAAAAAGTCAAGCAAATATCCATTTGAGAGATGCATATATTGATATAAATGGTATATTCTATATCCCTCTTGGGATTCTAAAATTAAATTCAAAATACAGGCTATGAGAACCTCTGAGGTGATGAAACTGGTCTAGCAAATTCTAGTGCTTTTGGAATTTATTTTCCCATGGAACATTTCACTTATAATACTGAATAAAATTCTTCTTTGGAAACATCTTCGGGGAACACAACTTGGATTTTTTTCCTTGTTACCTCCAAATAGCTTTATTCCACTCATTTAAAAAAAAAGGAGGAGGGACCAACTTTACAGCTGTCTCCTGACAAAGCCTAATGGACTAGACACCCCAGAGTCATCACCAATCAAATGGCCAGGGTCAAAGTGTCCCCAGTTTATTTTCTCATATGTTCTTCAATGGCCTCTCTTCTTCCAGACACATGAACATACATACCTTTCATTGCCCTTGGGACAGTCCTGTCTTTAAGTCAAATTGCTTGGCTTTCATGATCCACTCCCTGCCTTCCCGTTAGCCTCACCTCTCACAAGCACCCCTTGACACTTGCTTTTCTGTTAAATTTCCTTAAATTCCTCAAACGTGCCACAAGGCAAGGGCTCCTGAAATTCTCAATAGACTCCCACATT